AACCTTAGGCGATAAGATAGGCAGATGCCTGACATTCACAAATGATTTTTTACAATACTAAGGAGATACACAAGCGAGGTTGCTGATAAAACTGCTACTGGTCCGTTGAGGTTTTCAACCTAGTTATGGGTCAAAAATGAAAACATAAAGTATTTTTCAACTTACTTAAAGCTAATGAAGAGTACGGCTACTATGTATATACGATTTCGGGTTAGTGTTTAAGTAAAAGTATCTTTTCGAATGACGAACACTTGGTATTTTTTTGTGTTAAAACTGCTTTTATCAATGCCAGTAGGTAAAACGTATTTCAGTGAGACCATCACATCGAACAATAAATTAATAGTACCTTTAGAAGTACGCTATACGAATATTCATTTGAGTGATTTACCTTGCTTTCTTGTTTTGATTATACGATGAGATCTAGGAGTGGAACCCCGGACACTCGTTTCGTCCTATTTGGGGCCCGTCAGTTGGATCTACTTGGATGCCTTAGAATGGACATCAACTCTGCGATTCACGTACATCCAGCTAACGAGTCACAAATAAAACAAAACGCTCATCCTGGATTCCACTCTTAGCAATCATTCATCTTTGCTCATAATGCTTGTGACTTAAGACAATACCAAGGCAATCCTCATAAAATGCACATACGTCAATAAGAGACTTGTTTTGATTATTTAAAATTAACTTGTTGCAACGTGAATATACTCAACAAATCAGCAAGTAAAATAATTTGAACCAATTTCACTTTCAAAATGGTTCAGTCGTAATAGCATAATTGTTCTACTGACAATTAATATCATAGTTAAGTGCATACAAAAATAAGACAACGCTATAAATACATTTCATTTCATCTTCAGAACATTCCAATATTATCTATCTAAGTCTATTCTGTTCGGTTCCCAATTTTTATTGAGTAACTCCTTTACATGATTTGTGGTAAAAGGATATGGGTAGAGTAATTGGACAAATAAATTTTAACACTTATGTAAACAACAAACACTCCTGAAATGGAAATTAGGACTAAAGGCTTTCAGTTCTTTTTTGTAAGAAACAACATAATAGAAATTATATAAATTAATTAGTATAAGTGAAATTAACCATTTGGCAATTAAGTGATTTGGTGATTCAATTTGTTTTTCTTTTTACCTTGAGAAGATTCATCTTCAAATGTTTGAAGTTTCTGTGATGCAAAAATAAGAAATGAAGGGCTAGAGAAATTTAACAAAAGGCTAATAGTTTAATCTAATTACAAATCCATCATTTGGTTTTATAATTTATAATCATAATGATTAACACAATTCGTTAATATCATTTAAAACATTCCGTTAACCAGCAGAAACTGTGGCTTCTTATGGGTTATGAGTAATTTTTCTTTTCTCTTGTACAACTTCATAACTGTTTATATTTTTCATAATACAAATCAATAAAGTGTTGTATAATGTAATAACTTTGATTATGCGGTGTTTCATTGAGATATACTTGACTGTCTACATCATAAATATAAGGGTCAGAAATTTAAGATTTAAAGTAGCCATCGCTAAACAGTCGTCGTATTTTTGGGGCATGTGACCGAGTGTTTTGCTAAGCGATTATCCCAGTACTTGAACTGAGGTACTTGATTTCCAAAGGAGATTTTAAAATACTTTCCAACCATTTCCTCATGAATAATATTGACATTTTAAGGTGAAATGAGGGTTGACTAGTAGATCTGATACAATGACGAAGTTTTCAGCTGTTCAAACAAACTTCGTTCAACTTGTGAGTTCAGCTAATCGAAAACTTTAAGGTTAACATTCAATGATCTTAATCACATACGTATAAAACTGAGATTGACTTCTATTTTGAGCTTTTATTTGCTGACATAATACTGTGAATAAATAAATCTTGGAACATGTATTGGATCTACCCAAATCGTGATTTTTATTTCTTTCTAGCGGCTCGAATTATTGATGGATGTTGCAAAAGATATCCTATTTGATACATGGGGATAATAAGTACTGACATCTTTCAGTTTTTTTTTAAATTTAAAATAATGTAGATAGTTTTGGATAGCTATCTAAACAGCTTTAGTTTCTTGAGTGGGTATACTGATGAGTTATTTTAGTAAACAGAACAGTGATCAACCTACCATACAACTCTATTCAACTTGATGAAAGTGGAACATTGAGAATACAAAATATGCGGGTAATTGGCAAATATAAAGTCAAACGAAGTATTAGGAGACTGATCAATTGCAGTCCTAAACAACAACGGGAAGATATAGGCAAACAATACCAAGTAAATTTGAAGCATCAATTCGTTTGAAAAAGATGCTTCGTTTTATACATTAAAAAGTAAGTATCCCTTTAATCATCTTATATCGTACTAATAATTATAACGAACGATTGTGACCTACCAATCTATTTCAGTGTTGAACTTATTTTTTTATATTTCCGCCATTCTACTTCTAAATCACTTGGAAACTTCGAATTGGACTAAAATACTATACTAATGTACTACTTAGCCTAAAGATTTCATCGACTCAGTTTATTTCTCATCTTCCGGTTATGTTAGACAGGTTTCGTGCTATCAGTAATACTTTTTATTTGTTGCTAAATGTTAAATAACATACTGAAGCTTATTTATTCATTTTGAAATACTACATTTCTAATATGTCCTAGTGTGACGTTATGTATCAACAGTTAGTTGCTAAACGGGTGTTAATTTTAAAGTTCATGTTCGTTTCATTTCAAAATAATCACAGCTAGTTTATACAGTCAAATATTTCTTGTTTATGTGAGTTTCAATATATTTTTTGTCTAGTTGAAGCTTGAATAATGAGGTGTACATCCCACAGCGTTTGCAAATAAAACAAATAGCATTTTCATGGTTAGCAGAGATGGATAGTGGCTCGCAGTGGAATCCAGGACGCGCGTTTCGTCCTATTTGGGACTCGTCAGCTGGATGTACCTGCATCTCAGAGTTGATGTTCACTCTGGGACTCGAACCCAGTACCCTTGCTTCAAACGCCATCGCGTTATCCACTCGGCCACTGAGTCCTGATAGCCACTTGCTTGTGCGATGGGGTGAAGTTTAAATTCACTTCGTATTACTTGTTTGGATCTTCCCATCGATTTTGTTAGGACTGCATTTGGTCAGTCTCTATTTGGCATATGTGCATACTGTGCGTATTGCCTCGATATACCTTAATTCACAAGCATGGTTAGCAGAGGGTACTGGGTTCGAGTCCCAGAGTGAACATCAACTCTGAGATGCAGGTACATCCAGCTGACGAGTCCCAAATAGGACGAAACGCGCGTCCTGGATTCCACTGCTAGCCACTATCCATCTCTGCTAACCATGCTTGTGAATTAAGGTATATCGAGGCAATACGCACAGTATGCACATATGCCAAATAGAGACTGACCAGATGCAGTCCTAACAAAATCGATGGGAAGATCCAAACAAGTAATACGAAGTGAATTTAAATAGAATTTTCATTTACAACTTCCAGGCTTTAATCTTAATAAAACACCTGAAATTTGTACTGTAATGGGACAGCATGGAATTGTTATTAAACAATAACTGATTATGCACTACTATGAAGTGTAATATCCAATATAATTGATTTTGTGGAAGTTCGATTAGCAAGCAACTGACTACTTATAAGTAGTAATACAGTGATTTATACACTTTCAGGGATTTTGTTTTACTTGATAAGCTCACCTCATGGTGAATAAATGTTTCCTCATATATTTACTGGGACTTTGAATACATTGTTATACAATGATAGCAGCGAAGCTTCATCTAGTCTTCTTAGGTTATATATCTCTGAGAAAATACTATCAGGATGTGGAACTTTTACTTTGGTGATAGTATCCTGGTCTTTCATAACTCGTAAGATTTTAATGGCGTTTAAACCGTTGTTTAATAAATCCCGTCTGCACAATTGACTCCTTCAATATGAGAAATCAAATTCCATTCATTTATAAACTAATAAATACCAGTCAACCAAATGTATAAATACTTTGTTCCTAGAGTCATTCGTCTCAGTAACTCTCTTATCATAAATGTCGACTAGATGACTAGAAATTAGTAGACAGTAAAGAACCTAGTTAAAGATTTTTTAAAGTGGCTAAAGAGACAAAATCGTCATTTGCTTCAGTGATTTAATTTCAAGTTTTAGTATCCAAAAGTAATTACGTCTAGTAAACAGTCAATATGTTATGTATTGTTTAGGTAATTATACCATCGACATTAAAGTAGTTAATCCGATCATATTTTAATGTCCCTTATCTATTCCGGAAAGTTTGTTTCTAGTTCCGTAAGATATCCATTTTTTAAGGACTTCTAAGTGACTTAACTTGGCGATGTTTGATGGTTAAACAACTTAAACATAATCAGGGTCTAGTGGTCTATAAGTGAGACAATGACCAGACATGTGAACTGAGTTACCAAATTTAGTGAAAAACGATTCGATCTTATATCAAAAGCCAATACGATTGACTTGCTAAATTTCAAATGGCAATGGGGGGTTGGTCACGAATCAGGAAAGATATTGACCTAGAAATACTAAAAAGTGATATCTTGTTTACATAGAATTTATTGATGTAAAGACACTTGGTTTACATGTACCAAAATTAACTGGTCATTAATTAGTCATTGTTCAAATAATTTAATAAAACAATTATAGTTCATATTCACTTAGTATTGTTTGTTTGAATCTTCCCATCGATGTGTTAGGACTGCAACTGATCAGTCTCTAATTGGCATATGTGTATACTGTACGTATTGCCTCGATATAGCCTTGATTCACAAGCTTATAGTTTATGTTAAGTCGGTTTACAGTAAACTCTATCAGAGCCTCCAGAGGCTCATAAAGAGCCCCAACCAATCAGCGATTAATTAGAAAGATTGCTACTAAAATAACGAGATCCTGATTGGCTGTTTAACACACTGCTACTATGGAAACTCAAGGTCTCTTAATTACTATAAAACCCCTGTATTTTCTGTACATAAATGAATCCTGTAGTAAAGCGCTTCCCTCATACTTTGTGCCTTTTCTCTGGTCTTCAAGTTGCTGTATAGTTCTAGCTCGAGGGTACGGAACTAGCTTAGGGAAGGAAATATAGAGTTCACAATCGGCCAGACGTAACAGTTTACTCCCGTAAAAATATGAAAATGACCTGGCTGTCGACACGTGGTGTCACTGTCTAGGGCTGAAAGTCAAGTTAGTTAATTCCAATATTCATTCACATATTTGAAACATGATTTGTCTTATAAGTTACTGATATGCGAAGGAATTATATATATGTCGTGGATTAGTTGACATTTCATCTAGTGACGGTTTCAAATTAAGTAAGTTGTCCTTATATAGCCTGTCGGTCAGCTAATCAAAACTTGAAGAGTTATTCGCTACCAGTAAACCCAGTAAGTTTTAAAACTACTGTACAATAATCTTTTTTAACGTGATCAACTATACTCACCAAATATTCATTGACGATATAATTTAATTATTGTATTCGAGATTTGGTCAACTTATTCTGCAAATATTTCCGAGTTAAGTAATATACCCGTGGAAAGTATTTAATACTTAAGTGGTAGACGATTGAATGTCACTTAACTACATCCATGATCATACTGTTACTATTGAATAATACAACAGTTAAGTTCATTTACTTTATTCAAAAAATAAATCATATGTTTTGGAGTAAGTTTAAATGTCTGTTAACCCGAAAACTTTAATGAAATTTTTTCTATTATTTCAGTTATAGCTTTAACCAAAACTTAAATGTGTAACATAAGAAGGCTTCCATATAGAAAAGTACTCAGGTAAAATTACATCTCTTTTATCTGTTACATCAAGAGCGTGATTCTTAATAATAACTACTCCTAATATGAACTATAAATTCTCACGTTGAACACCAAAACCCATCATTACTAATCGTACCTCCTTTTAGCTGCAAAATCAATAACTTCAATTAACGTTTCCAAAGTAGTTATTAAGATAAAATGCTTCGTATGCTTCAAAAGGAACACGTTACCAAGTTTAGGCTGAAAGTTATCTGAAGGGCCTTCAAGTAGGTACGTATTTTTATTTTAAATAAAAGAAATATTTAATAATGAAGTTGGAAGCATTTTGTTTGTTTTGTACTTAAATATTTTAGGTATTATACGTGTACTAGTGTGAAATGGTTTAACATAAAAACATGTTCTTTATAGACATGGTTCCTATAAAAGCTAGGGAACTATGAAAATACTACGTTAGATGAAGTCAGAACGAGATTAATGCATTTGCATACACTTTTGTATGTTATTCATTGCTTTTATTTCATGTGACTGTGATCTAGATAAATCTAATCCATAGGATATCAAAATCTTAGTCTGAAACAATCGGCACTAATACACATTTAGGTGATACATACATGGTCGAATAAATTACAATCCAATAAAACTAAGCTATCAGTGACATTTTTCCATACCAAGTTTCGCTGTTTCCTAAAACTGTCATCAATTTTTAAACATATAACTTATTTTATCTCTCCACTCCATGTTTAATCAGAAATACAGCAATTCCAAATAATTATAAGTTTAATTCTGTGATTGTAAAGTTAATGTTACGTAATCAAATACAGAACTTTACCAAAGACAACTAGTTATTCGGATCTTACATTTGGAAATCTGACCAAATTTTTCTATACTGAAGCTATAATCACTGTTCACACATGTATTGTGTTCTGCAGAAGTAAATAAGTTGGCCATCGCCAAATGTGAAAATGAGTATGTAAAACTAAGTTAAATAGTCACATATTACCATTAGTTTGTTTTCGATTTAGCTTGGAATGAGTGCTGCTCCGGTTTACAAGGTCTAATTTATTTTAAAACTACGTTCTGCTTCTTTTGTAATGAATTTTGTTTAGCAACTTATTGTAGAATTCGTGACAGTGCTGTCAAGGTGAACAAACCGTACAATTATGATCAAATATTATTGTTTAATGCTTTCTTAAAAGTACTCTATAGTGAAAAACAGAGACATTTTATGTATTTATTTGTTTCACAGTCGTGACAATTAGTTGATAAAATATCAGACGATGTGTGCAAATCGATTTCGAGAAGCCGGTGACTTCTTAAAAGTTTCATTTTCTAAAGAACTGCGTAAATTATGTAGACCACCCATCATAAATGATTGAACATTCTATCTCGATAGTACTAGTAAATGTGTTACTTCTTAATATGATTGCGAAGCAAAGCTATGTGTATTTCTAAAATACTAATATTTCTGAATGATTTATGTGGTCTGCTTTTATGCTGCCTTATTTACGTACATCTTTTATCTTCAGAATCCAGATGTTACACAGAGTCAGTTTTAAATAACTGCTGAACAGAAAGTGAGTGGGTCATCATTATTATCTTAGACTAACCCATAGTGAATATGCCCTGAATAAACTAAATTAATGTATATCTCTTATGTTTGTGCTTATGGCTACTATATGATTGTGTCGCTAAGTTCAGTCGTGAAGCTTTCATCGAGGGATAATCAGTTTTATTCTTAAATGCTCAAACTGCTTGAATGTAGATGCTCTTCAAATTTGACATAGAATATCCTCTTTATAGTTTACAACAACGTTACTAACAAACAATATACTTTAAATCCAAATGGATTGGTTTAATTTGTGGTAATTGAACATGTCAACATTGGTATTTTCATTGTAGTTCACATTTGAGCTAGTATTTTATGCTATTTCACTTTCTCATTTTCCTGTAACTTTTAAGACAATCTACACTGGTTTGTTGACAAGACACAAAAACTAGCTTAAGGTGTTCCTGTGGATTTTTATGTGTTATAGTGGTATTTATTAAAATCATTGAACATAAACACTGGAGTTAGTGATCTCATACAAACCTTTATTCTTAAGGCGTAAGTGCTTGTTACAATGTTTTTTATGGTAAACTACTACACTCAAAGATAAAAATACAGCAATATCAGATAGATGATTAATGCATAAACACGAACCAGGATATTTGTATTTTAAGGACATTTTAGGGTAGAAACGCATCACTGTCAGTAACATTATTCTATGTAAATAAGCTATTTGAAGTTATATTATCCTTTTCCGTAATACACAGAGTAATGAGAAAGTTAACGGATAATAAATAGTCGGTGACAAAGACGACAGGATATTTTTGTTCGTAACCGTAGTTTCCACGCTAATAACTGGTATTGGACCAGTTGACTCCACTGTTCATCGTCTCAACTTACAGTCAAAATTGAAAACAATGATATCAGCCTACATATAGGCTATATTCTGGAAGCTACATTAGAAAAACAAGAATTCCATCATCAGTTCTTAAGTTTAGACAGTTGTTTTTAAAATTTAAGATGAAGAAATTGTTAGAAATCATTCGGAAGTCTGCGAACGTTTATTTAGCTTGTTTGTCGAACCCAGAAATGGGTATCATTTATGCCTTGCTTGGAGCTAAACGTAAAAATAGGTATAAGTAACTAACAATCCTACAAAACGATTCTCAGTAAGTAAAGGTTACAGTCAGTAGGTTTTTGTGGATTATTCTATACTGATGGTTCCAAAGTACGACGTGTCCCAAAAACGCAGTTGCACGAACGATGGATTTTGCAAGTCAGGCTTTGTTGCATGAGGCAAGAGAAAATAAATCAGAGTGGATGACGATCCTGAGAAAGTTAAGCTTCATGGGTATTCGTTTGTTTAATATAACCATGAAAACCGTTTATGATATTATGTTTTGTACATAGAAGACTAACTTCTTCTGTTTGTAGAACACTGTTAACGAAATTTTGACATTGGCACAACAAACGAACCACAATTAAAAATAATATGAGGACACGAGTTATTGCTGAAAACGTATGTACACTTCCTTATATTTTGATATACAACTCTATCTATGGTCCTTTCTTAACAAATATTGATCAGAATTTTGTAAGTCAATGTCAGTAGTGTGACCTCTGTTTCGGCGATTAGAATGAATGTGCTGCTTTTTAATGCTTTTATTATCCCTTCAGATGAGGTCGTGTATTTTCCTGTATAATGAAGGCGTTAATAGACCATTATTCAGTTATCCTAGCCAGATCACTGTATTTTGATTTACTTTATTACTATGAATGTTTTATATGTACTTCATACTGAAAGATAAATCCAATTAATATTTGTCAAGCATGAAAGTAATTTAATTAGTGCTATGGTAAATAGTTGAGAAATATTTTGATGAATATGATTTTTCATCTTTTGTTTATTTCAGTTAATAGTTGGACGTCCAACTTTTTCACTCATTAATCGCATATCCTGTCGTTTCGAGGTTAACTAGTGTCAAACGAATATATGCCCCATTCGAAAGCGTGCTTGTTAGCATTAGAACCCAGATATTTTTCTATGGTAAATTAGGAAAAATTTTGTCAATATCAAAAAACGTTTGAACGATACTTGTGTTTGATTGATCCATTTTTTCTAACTAGACAAATTTAACTTATAATATTAAGAGATACATATTTGCTATACAAGAAACTGTGACTCCATCTAATAAGTTAACAAAATACAATTAACAAGCTAATTCAATCCACTTTGACAAATATCAATCTTCAGATATAAGGAAAACCTCTGAACTTGACCTCTTCGAAACATATAATCCATTCCATTATTTTGTACAGCACTTATCAAGCTGGTTAATCCGAAATTACTAATTGTTGTTTGACTTTCTAGTGTGCAATTAAGTCGCTTTGATAAACCTAAATGTATAAAATGTTATTTTGGTCAGATAACTAATTAACATAGTAGTTTGAAAATTGAATGCCAGTAATATAAACCGAGTTTTTCGAAACACCGATTTTTTCTTCACTAAACCGTAAAACTTATGACTGCTACCCGATAAGCAACCACATTTTAACTTGTACATCATGAAATTTTTCTGCGTACGATTTTATTTCTAACCATCCGAAATGATGTTTATGAGACTCCATAACGTAGTAAACAATATTTTGTCAGCTTAGATATATTTCGATAGTGTAATAAGAAGACGAAGATTGTCAGAACTATATGGTATATTAGCGAAATACATTTCGAATAATCTGATCACACATCTACTTGTTAAGAACATTTATATATAAAAATAAATGGTCAACTAGACTGGAATTGGGAGGGGAGTAAGAATAGACAAGGATAATAATAATAATAATAATAATAATAATAATAATAATAATAATGTGAAAATAATTTGAAACCTAATCACTCTGGGTAATAAGCTAATATTACCAGGTAGGGATAAAGGTGAGAACAAGCTGTTTTGGAAAGGCTTTTGAATTTTCTTACGGCTATGGCTTCAATAAACCACTTTTATACAACACCGCATAAGCCGAGTTTAGATTAATCTTATGGCCTGTTTCGATTTTATGTATGGCAATAGAGGATGATGGATGTTTATCCTCTACTGTTATCGGGTCATTTGATTCTATTTGTTTCTGCAACCATTTTCGGACATGTTCACATACCCTGATTTTGAGATCGCGATTGCTCTTCCATATATATGTGTGACCACACACACATTGAAATTGGTAAACACGTTGGGATGTGACACAATCGTTTTCATGTCTTCTAGGTTTTGGATGAAGCATGGACCTCGTTCTTTCTCTGATAATGACCTTCGCTGCACAAAACGTTTTGTTGATAACAGATTTAAGCCTTTGTTTCAATAAAAGGCTATTTGAATCGCCTCTAAATGGTAAAGTGATGTAGACGGGTTTCTTTCCGCCATGGCTACAGCAGGTCTCATTGTACCATGTACTTTACATCTATTTATGGGTTTAAGTGGATAGCCAATCCCCTATTAATGTCTTGTTTAACAACTTAACATTATCATCAATAGCGTCGTTTGTGCAAATACGATGAAGCCTGTTAAATAAGCACCTTATCAAATCCCGTTTGTATTACACAGGGTAATGACTATAATAACTAAGGTATTGGCCTGTCCACTTTAGTTTTCGAAAAATGGATCTTTTGATTTAGCCATCTTTTCGTCTACTTAAAAGTATACTCAGATATAGTCTGTTGATACTTCAATGCACCGAATACAGTTTGAAGATCAAGACCATTATATAATTAAAGGCATTTGAAAGTTCTTATCCCGCTTATTTACGAAATAAGATTAAGAGTAACACTTTTTCCATCATATCAGTTAAGTTTATTAGTGGTGGTGTAATCGATCATTATTAATTCTTCGTTTCAATTGGTTATTATTAAATATTTAAGTTAACTGACGTACTGTGTTTCATTACTTAGACCTTATAAAACGTTTATTTAAAATTAGATTCATCTCCTTAATACAGGACGCAGGCCGAAAAGTTTAACAGAATTGCTTATGGATTCATTCAGATGAAAGTAATGTTAAGTCAAGGATTTCTACCATCCACATACTGTTCTAACAATTATGTATTTCATTTTCTCTCTTTTTTGTCTCAGTAAATGAAAGTATTTGTGGTGTTTAATATTATTACTTCAATACACTGAATGCTCTTATAGTGGTAGTTAACAACCACTGTTGGAACAATATCTGGATTGATGCATACAGTTTATTTTGTAACATCCTCTTAAAAGTGAGTTGATATTTTTTAAAATGTAACTAACAATTAGATAAATGTAAGCAAGTAATTTTGTTTAATTTACTGAACGTAGATATATATTTAAAAACATGTGAATAGTAGCATAACGACCAGGTAATTGCAAAGCAACAGTATTCACTGGTGAACATTATCTAATCAAATGTTTAAACGTTTGATCTATGAAATACATCTTATTTTTGCATCAAGGAAACTGGATTCTTAGTTTCGCCAAATAAACATAATAAATAGGACTAAGTAGGTATTAATTAATCACACACACACAAAAGCAACTAGAAACTTACATTATGTGTACCATAAATATACATTTTACTGTAATGCCTTTTAACTCCAATCGTTCCATCATATAAAAAAGTTGTTGATTTAATGTTGAACAGTCTCTAACACTTAAATTAAACTTCTTTCAAATGCACCTTAATATAAACAAAGCGATTATTATTTTCATTAATAGTTTCAACATTTACAATTAACCTATAAAATGAAACTTAACTTCTGTAATACTGAGGATTCATATATCATTTACATATGCGTAAATTGTTTCTAATCTATCTTCATCTATTTTACGGGGAAGCGCTAAACAAAATTTACCGAAAAGTCATCAAAGAAAAAATACATGACAACAATAAAATTTAGTTAGAAAGTAGGGACCGATACACTTGATGACTATTTTAGAGAATTGAGTATGTATCTTTGAAAACACGTACGTTTATGTGAACATAGAATGTTGGTAACATTACCTTCACATTTGTAATTATAGCATAATGTATTGCTGTGTGAAATTATTACTAATGTCTTAGAAAAACAAACCACTAACTAAGTATTTTGAGTTTTGTTTTGGTATTCGTTGTAAAACCATCAACAAAACGCTGAAACAAATACTGAGATAAAATTAGATAACAGTACCCCGTAATATTATCTTTTCATGAACAGATTTTGAACTGTATTTCATGTATAGAAATAAGCTTTCTGAGGATGTAAGAACATTCTGATACAAATGGTAACCGTCTCTGCATTAAAATGGTGCGTAATAGTTAAGTTACATAGCAAGGCTTCATTTTGCAAAACTGTATTATTTTTTATTAAATATGGTTAAACAACACTGAATTCAGATAGCAAGAACTAATTCGTTAATAAAAATGTCTAGATGCTATCTTATTTGATAGATGAATAGAATCCAAGGAAATCCGATTATAAACACAATACTAGGTTATTCGCCAATAAGCTTAGTAAAATAGCAAACATTTGTTAACTTTTCTGTCATGAACGAACAACTATGGGGGATTTCTTTGTCAGCTATTTATTAATGTTATTTTAACATTGTAATAAATAACAAAACCGGAAGAAAAGAACTTTAAGTCAAGAAACGTTGTGTTGTTTTGACAACTTTTTCTATTCACTGTTCATCCAAATTTTAATTGTTTCCTGATGTTGAAATAATAAAGTCCAAATATAAATAACCTGGCTGTCGGATAACTATCCTTGTCTGACAGTGTTCTCCAGTGAAAACCGTTATATCAATCATCTCAAAGGTCGATTAAAACTGTAGTTACTAATTCGTTAAAAAACATTGAGTAATGTATTAGTAATCGTATCACATATGTATTCCCAATTTGGGGGTAAAAACATTTTAAGCACTTTATAACAAATCCAATAAATAGTTACATTTGATGTTTACCAAAATCAATTTCTTAAATGATATGACATTTTAGCACATGTGAAGTATCTCTTCGTTAAATTCTAACCCTAAATAAATAAGTAGTCAATCTAACTTGGCATAAAAAATGTCCCAATATTACCTGAACAAAGAGGCGATAATGCAACAGATAATAAACTATGCGTTTTTCAAATTTATGTGCTAAATGAAAGGTTAAATGAAAGCCATATATATATATATATATATATATATATATATATATATAATGGTCATCAGTCTGTACTTCGCCAACTAAAAAAACAGTTCATGATTTGTGATTTTTGGCAAAATCATTTCTTTTTCATTTATTCAAACCAGAAATTTTCCTTTATTCACACAGATTTATTCAGTCATATGGTTTACATTCATCCCCTAACATCCAGCCGATTGAAGTATTAATTTTAGGTTTTCAACTACAAAGCCTGTAGTTATGTAGAACAGTTGTTCTAATGGAGATAACTATATTTTTAAGTGAAACTAGATTTAAATCTTAACTTAAACATTGAAATGTGGATAAAATGTTATTCAAATGTGTTTAAATCACTTGATTCTTATAAATTCTCTATTGCTTGATTCAAAAAGTATTAGCAAATAAACTTAGTACTCCTGAGCTTTTACTGGGGTCACTTAAATGTGGGAATATTGTTTACTTCAATTCCCAAATATTAAGATAAATCTTTAATAGTTGCATTATGAAGTGTTTTTAATATACATACAACAATAATTTTGCAGTTTGTCTGTGTACTTTGAATACAACATTCTTTTAAAATGACATTTGAATGATAAATAAATTGAAGCTTAATCGTTGTGAACACGACGTCATATCATCGAGACGCCATCTAGATTGTATTTTTCCGATACTCATTCATAAATCTTTCAGTGAATATTACCAACAAAATTTCATTAGACTGGTATATTATATATTATTCGACAGCTATTTCTCTTACAATGTTGAAACATTTTGTATTTGGCATTACATATCTGTCTGATGAGATAAGAAAGAAATCGACTATTAAGTATAGATTATGAAAACAAAACGTATTACATATTACATGTGAATATGTTACATATATAGACAAGGTTTCATTGACAAGCAAAGCTTATGGACATAGATTTTGTTTAAATTTTGTGTTCAACAAATAAATGATTTTCAAATGGTTTTGTGTAGTTACGTTTTCTCATGAACAGTACATGTATCATCATCAATGAACTGATCCTAATGAGAGAAAAAACTATCATGATAGATAAAAATGTCAAAATCAGGAAAACTTGTGAATTGATCAACTTTATTATGAATTCAAAACATTATAGCTATTTGTAATAAAGAAAAATCAAGTATATGTAATAACAGTCAAATAAACGTGATAAACTACGTTTATCGGAAACTCAACATATTTGATCACATTATGTCAATTGTATAATAAGAGTTTGATCCACTGTGAAATAAAATATTTAAGATTTCACTTCTTTGCTAACCAACAGCTACCAGATTGTCTGCCTTTGAAAAATCGAAGCTTGTTTGATGTCCTTAGCGACGGTTATTAAATGTAATATTACTTACTTACTTACGCCTGTTACCAACAATGGATCATAGGCCGCCTACCAGCATTCTCCAATCCACTCTGTCCTGGGCCTTCCTTTCTAATTCTATCCAACTTTTGTTCATTCTTCTCATGTTTGTCACCATTTCTCGGCGTAATTTGTTCTTTGGTCTTCCTCTTTTCCTTTGGCCTTCAGGATTTCATGTGATGGCTTGCCTTGTGACGCAGTTGGGTGATTTCTTCAATGTGTGTCTTATCCACTTCCAGCGCTTCTTTCTGATTTCTTCCTCCGCTGAAATCTGGTTTATTCTCTCCCACCATAGGTTGTTACAGATACTTTCTGGCCATCGGATCCGAATTATTTTGTGTAGATGACTGTTAATAAACACTTGTATCTTCTGGATGATGACTTTCGTAGTTCTCTCGAAGAAAAGTCGTATTAAACTTTTATGACGTCCACCCCGTTTTCCAGTGCTTCTTCAGTTTTAATTTCATCTGGGCGAACAGCAAGTGATGATCTGATGTTATATCAGCTTCTCTTCTGGTTCTCATATCTTTCATCGTCCTCTTGAACTCTTTGTTGATGCATATATGGTCATTTTGGTTCTGCGTAGAGTGATCCGTGGTTTTGTGAATGTGTTTATGTGGGGATATGGAGACACATATGATAAGTTTAGTGAGGGCATATAGGTTTGCAAATCTCTCACCATTTTCGTTCCTTTCTTCCAGTCCATGTCATCCCATGATGTCTTCGTATCCAGTGTTGTTCATTCCATTTAGGTCTTCCATCAGAATGGTCAAGTCCTTTGCTGTACACTTCTCGATGATTGACTGTAGCCTATAGTAGAATTGATCTTTAACGTCTTCATTGTAATCGTTGGTAGGCACATGGCATTGGGTGACGTCCATCGTAATACCCTATTTCTTTGTTTTGAAGAAGGCCTTAATTATCTTAGGTCCATGAGATTCCCATCCTATAAGTGCTTTATGTGTTTGTTTGGATAGCATCAGTGCAACGCCTTGTGTATGTGGAGAATTTTCTTCTTCGTGGCCGGAGTATAACATCAACGTCCCTGAAACTATTCTTTGTTGTCCAACCTGCGTGCAATGCATTTCACTGATTCCAAGTAACTTCAAGTTGTATCTTATCATTTCTGCCACAATCTGGATAGTTCTCCTAGTACCCTACATTGTACGGATATTCCATGTACCTAAATTCATGATTTCTTTGGTTGTTAGAAGTGGCACCAGCCTCGTAACTTCTGGAGGAACTCGGCTCTTCTAAATGAAGACTTTCTGACTCCCAGGGCAGAGCTTAAATGGTTTGAATTATTTTTTTCTTGTTAGCTTTTTTTAGCGAGTTAGTTTTCTACGGGATGTGGTCGCTAACTCCATGCCCAACCCTCCCCCTTTATCTTGGCTTGGGACCGGCAGTAACCCCAGAGGGGCTGCAGTCAGAGTTTTTATTGTAATATTTTAGTTCAAGTCTAAAATCAGTTAGTAAATTTATAAGCTGTGGTAGCTGTTTCATTTCATTTTAATAGACATACTTCTTTTTTTTATAAATTTTTACAAGTGACTGAGCGACGAACATGTAATATTTCCATATTCTAATTAATTCTGTTTGCTTTGAAGTTACTTCTAGTTAACGAATCGACCGAGTCACTATAAATTACTCATAAAAGAAGTTGTCATATTTACGGTTTGAAGTCGTGTTTGATGTTATAAAAAACGGTTCAGTA